CTCGGTTCGGGACCGAGAACATGCTTCTTGGTGAACTGTCACAGCCTGCAAAGAGAGGAGAAACAAAGTTAGAAAAGAAAATCAAACATAAAGGTAATGCCAACAAAATAATTTAAGGCTTACCTGATTCAAAGCGTGCCGCACTCCGTGAAAAAGATTCGATGCATCACTAGTACCGGCAACGTCCTCGACACCGGTAAACAGGTCATGAAAAGGATCCTCTCCATCATGAGGCCCGTCTAGTTCGAGGGCCCCCAAAGCTTGGACTTCCCGAATCGCCCCTGCGAAAAAAGCAAGGAAGGTGGGCGAGTCTTCGATTGCTACTGCCCCAAGTGAATCACTTGGAGCATTCTCTTCGGTTCGAAGAGATTCGGGGAGAGCCCCTTCAGACATATCCCCCATCTGTTGGCTTCGATGGGAAGCATCTTCGATCTCCAACAACTCGGGGACTCTGCCCGAATCTTTCTCCGATATATCCTTAGTTCGAGGCGGAGCCTTATAAACCACCATCGATCCAACTGCCTGTGGAACGTCGGTGGTCTTCTTCGTTCGGGACGCCAGCGCGGACCCATCATTTTCTTCTTCTTCTTCTTCTTAGACGCAGAACTGATTCTACGGTCAAAGGAATGGTATCATTGTTCGGCTTACGAGCCGTCCTCTTCTTCGGTTTTGGATCTTCGGGAACGGAGGCCCTTTTCCTCTTATTGTCTTTCACCGGCTTTGGAACAGTGTCCGAAGCCTCTTCCTCGACGGATGAGGGCCTCAAAACAGCATCTTTGCCCACACCTACATACGGAAAATTTTATTAAAGTATATGGAAAGCATCTTGTTCGAACTACCAAAAAATATAAGAAAGGGGCTTACCATGATTTTTGGCCTCCTATCGGCCCTTTGACAAGTCGTGTCATGAGCGCTCGGCGTATGTGGAGGTCGAAACCAGATCCCGTACCCAATTTTTGAGATCTGGAACTGCGTCGGGCATCCAGGGAACCGCTGCATCACAAAAAGTGGATATCGGTGAGAAAAGAGATGAAAAGACAAAATAGTAGGAGATAACAGCAGAATTACACTTACGCTTCATGTTCCACTCCTCGGGAAAAGGCATCTTTTCAGTCGGAATCAGGTCCGAAGTCCTTACTCGAACGAACCTGCCCATCCAGCCTCGATCCCTGTCCTCGTCTATGCTCGAGAACAGAGCCTTGGTAGCTTGACGTTGAAGTTTTATTAACCCTCCTTGAAAAAGGCGAGGACGGTATAATCGGATGAGATGATCGAGGGTGAAAGACATCCCCTCGATTTTGTTCACAAAGTATTAGATCAAAATAACGATCCGTCAAAAAGAAGGATGGATCTGGCCTAGGGTTATTAGGTATTTACGACAAAAATCTATGATAACAGGGTCGAGGGGACCTAACGTGAAATGGTAAGTATACACACTTAAAAATCCTTTCACGTGAGTAGTAATATCCTCTCCGGGAGACGGTACTACCACTTCTTTGTTTCCCCAGTTACAATCTTTTTTTATCTACTTGATATACCCCCCCGGTTATCGAACAAATATATCTCGATACGGGTTCACATCGGCCGGAAACCGGCGAACCTTTATCGAGTTTGAAATCGGAGGTAAGAACATACGCCACCAGAACGCACTCCTCAGGTCGTGGATCCATCGGTGTTTTGTCGGCGGCAGAGTGGGAAGAAGAAGCTTTTTCTTTTTGGGGGACGGTTTTTGATGTCTTCACCATTTTTTGATTTAAAGAAGGTGACAAAGATTTGGTGGTTTAGAAGAAGAATTTTGCAGAAAAGAGTCACAGATCAGCGAATGAACTCAGAAGAGACGAAAAGGAACTTAAAAGTTTTTGGAAGATTAAGGACGTAAAAGTGATAAATAGTGGAAGGAAGGGCTATTTATAGATTGAAGCAATGGCGGTTCAATATCAGTAGTGCCGACCACTGTCTGACACGCATTAAATGCCTTGGTAAGCTAAACCGACAGACAGTTATCACGGACGTCATGGTCGGGCTCGATGCAAACGTCAGCGCATATCCAATCGAGCCATTGAGAAATCACATTGTTTCTCACCACATCCTTCCCGAGAATCGAGGGGACTATCTGTATACGGTCGAAGGCCTTCGTACGATTGATCGAGGTCGTAATATAATGGATCGGAGAAAGACTTCGTAATATCGAGATGGGTTCCGAAGATGGTACGAACGAGCTTCAGATTTCAGGTATAAGTCAAACACCAAGTTCGAAGTCATTATCGAGCTCGTGTTCGAATCGAATTATGATGAGATGATTTCGAGCTTAAGGGGCAGAGGCTAACCGATACCGAGCCCGAATCATCCCCTGATCCCGAGTCCACATCGAGCTCTAGAAGTAATACCGACCAGCACCGAGGCCGATCGAGCTCGAGCTCACAGACAAGAGCCGTTGCAAACACACTAAGGGAGAGAATCTCGGCGAAAATTAGGGAAAAGCTGATTTATCATGGGTTCTCCACTATGTATTTTTAATTATATCTAAAGTGGGATCCTCCACTATAAAGAGGATGGCTACATTTCTGTAGAAGTCAGTTTTTTGCTTACATTATAATTCAATCACCATATTCTCCTATATTTAAGGATTATTCTTTTAGGCTTCATTAATTGATTCATCTTGCGTAGTCCTAAAAATCATCTTCTTTCCAACCTTGTTTATTTTGCATTCTTTGCAATCCATATTTGATATTTCTATTTATCCATACGATTTGTATTAAGCGATACCACATATACTTAGAACTACGTACAAATTCAACTCTATCCGTTTTTTGGGTAAACATGTAATATATTTTGTATTGTGAGAATTTATTATAAATTAGTAGATCGTATGCTGACAGCCAATAGCACAACCCTAATTCCCTTTTACCTGAGTTTGAAATGACAACGTGAACAAACTCAGACAGACAAGGTCAACTATATGGGAAAAAATAAAATAAAATAAAATACAGACTTGGGGATGAATAAAAGAGCTTGTTTGGCCAAGCTTCTTAGAGTTTAAAAGTACTTTTTTGCTCTGTATACGGGTGAAACCGGGCCCACTGAACACCTTGATTTTTCAGTAAGCCAAACAGAGCAGGAACGCTACCGTAATGAAACTGAGTCAGAGCGAGGAACCCTCGTATCGGGTCTCGAGCAAAACATCTGCCCTCGAGGGTATCGAGGCCATATCCTCCGGGTCCGGTTCGAGGATTAAGACTTCATAGGGCATTATCAAACAACTACACACGACTAATAGAGGGTTGTGATGTCCGTGCCCAACTGGATATCACGACGTGAATCTCGGCTCCTATCGGCAGGGGAAAGATTATTATTCAGGGGACACATTGTAACACGTATATCAATGCAATTTATTTTAATTCTCTTTGTTGTTCAAAGTTCTTATTCTTGTTCTTAAATTCTTCATAGGTATAAGCTTGGAATCGAGGACAGGTTCTTCATCGAGCCGTCAATCGAGCTCGGAATCACCCTTATCATTGGTTTGGTCATCTATTATATTTTTTATTTGTTTAATTTAACGTCATTAATCACTCGTATTGAATTAATTCACATATCCTTAAAATCACATATAAATTCAATTGTTATCCGTTTTAAGGGTAAACATGCTCAAAAAGGTACTTCTTGAAAAAGTTGAGATGTTTGGCTAGGATAAAAAAATATTTTTGAGCAGTAGGAGAAGCAGTTTTTCTGCTTTTGGGAAGCTACAAATTCTAGGTTCTTCCAAGAAGTGAAAGTAGAAATTAATTTATTTAAGACAAAAATATCCTTGCAATAAATTTATATTTTCAAATTATCCCTTAAATTAATTTTTCTACCATACCTTTCTTCTCTTTTTTATTCTCTTTCTCCTTTTCCTACGTGGAATGTTCTCTCTATTATAAATATATCTCTTCTTTTATATAGTAATTATAAGAGTAGAATTTTTATTTATATTGAATGTGTATTTTGATATATTTAAATTATCATGTAAATGATAAGTAATATCAGGCACCCAATATTATTGATTGAAATAACTATATTTTATATTAATTTAAATCTTAAATTTATATTGTTACTTATGATTATATTTAAGTTGAATTCCTTTATAATAAATATTTAAATGCATATCTCTTTTTAAATAATACAAACTGAATTTTTATTATTATTTTTTTTATAATTTGACACTCAAAAGTATTTTTTGAAAAGATTGGTTACAAAAAGCATTACTCATTTGAATCAGTGAAACACAAACGGCTAATTTGCACATACTTTTGAATAAAAATATTTATAAAATAAGTAATTTCTAAGTCGTCCAAAAGCCCGAGAGTCAACGGATGGAAGGAAAATCCTAGTTGTATGAGGTACACACAAGTTGCAAGTTGGCTTCCAGAATCTCGAAGTAAGGAAACGCCGTCGCCACAGTGTTTGACTGTTTTGTAACAATTTTTGACACGTAAGGAACCAATAGTTGTGTGAACGTAAATGTAATTTCACCCATCACGTGTGTACAGATGTTGATAGATAAAGAAAAGAAGCTAATCCACAAATAATTCCATGTTCATGCACTCAGAATTTAAAATTGATAGATTTAAAATTTTAGTTCGTTTATGTTAGACTTCTAAATTACTAATAATTTATATATATTTAATGAATTTTTAAAATTTAGTAAATGTAGATAGTCTACTCTAATACAAATATTAATAGTTGTTTTAAAGGCTCGAATTCGTTAACTGTAGGTGACAAGGTTAATCGGCACTTATATAATTTAAATCCAAATAATAATATTATAACTTAAGACGACTCTTAGCTGCAACGACCGGGTGTTCATTAACAATAAGACCTTTTCACCTTCTTAGAAGCCCACATTTACGCGTCTCCATTTATAACTCAACTGGTAAGTGGTAATTTGACTCTTTCTTCCTTCTTTCTTCAATTCTTCCTCCAAATATTTTCTCTATATATAACTCTATTTCTCTCACAACTTCTCACAAATTCTCTCTAATCTTCTTCATATATATAGCTAAGAGTCGCTGCGAAAAAAAAAGAAACAGTTTCAATTTGCTGCTGCGGAATTTAATTATTTATCTGAAAATACATAATACATAGCTTCCGCTGCAGCTTTTAATTAATTTCCTTTTGATATTATAAAAATTTTCGCTTTGACTCTTAGCTCAATAACAATGGCTCGTTCTTTCTCCAACTCCAAGATTGTCTCTGCTTTTATTGTAGACTCTGTTTCTGCTGCTATTAATAGGTAAAATTTCCATGCTTTTTTCCACTTTTTTTTTTCTTGAAAGAAAATAAAAGAAGGGATTTTTGGGTCATTATATTATGAGAAAATAGGGTCAAAATAATTCTCTGCTATATGAAATATCTTAATTTTACATGTTATTCGTATCCTTGTTGTTAGTCGTATTCCTAGTGAGGCTCAAACCTGAAGTATAATTAAAGGTAATTTTAAATTATAGCTAAAAGCAGATAGGTAAATTTAAATTTATTTTTTCCTTCATCTTGTTAAGAAAGAATACAAAATAATTTACCAACAGAAAGTGGATGAATGCCCCTAAACTATAATGAAGGATAAAATTAAGATATTTTATGCAAGGAAAAAGGTAAATTTGAATCTTTTATACTATTCTTTGATGTAGAGGTGGAAATATAAGTAGGGGTGCACCAGCATCAACTGTTTTAGGCTCAACAATAAATATGTAATATATAAAATCTGAAGATTCATTTTTAGAATATGTATATATATAAATAGGTGCATTTACACCCGTGGCGGAGCCACCTTATGTTATGGGCGTCAACTAACACCCTTTTTGCTGAAAAATTACACTATTTAGCTAAGTAAAAAAAAATATTTTTATGCATATATACTATATATTAACTTCGCTTATTTTTATCATGTGTTTTATTTTTATATTTTTAGCATCCCTTAATAAAATTTCTGATTCCGTCACTACTTTACTATATTTAAATCCTGAATCCGTTTCTGATTGTGCAGGCGTGGGTATGCAGCTGCATCACAAGGTGCAGTAAGAGGAGGGGTTGTGAGAAGCAATGTGACGATGAAGAAAGGTGTAGAGGAATCAAACAAGACAATTTCATGGGTACCAGATCCTGTTACAGGTTATTACAGGCCAGAGTCTCATGCCAATAAGGAGATTGATGCTGCTGAGCTGAGAAAGATGCTCTTGAAACACAAACCTAGCCAACACTGAAAAAAAACATTGGATAAAAAATTGTATCTTGGGCAGTGGCGGATTTAGAATTTAAATATTTATCTTTTATGTTTTTGTTATTGAACTCATTATACTTTTGGAATTATGAGTTCGGAATGCAATATTAGTGGATTAATAATTTTTCACATATATATAAAAAATTCTAGTTCAGTTGAATCTGTTGAACCTGTAATGCATGCCCCGTTGTTGATTGGCTGAGGTGGATTTAAAATTTAAACGTACGTCCAACCTTTATATTCTCACCACAAACTCATTATACTTTTGTAATTATGTATTTAGAATGTAATTAAACCGTAGTATGATAAGTTCGAATATATACTATGACCGAAATTCTTCTATTCTCAAGTTATTCAAGTATAAAAAAAGTGATAAATCAGCCACAATGCCCCAACTATGTTTGAATTTGATTTTTTGGTTTTTCATCCGGTATTCGATATATACATTGAGATTCAATTAAATTCGAATTTGTGTCGAAAAATTTGATATTAAGAGATAAAACGCTCTCTGACAAAAGACTACATGTATATCCACAACTTGAAGAAAAAGGAATAGTTATCACTTGTTTGTGAAATTGGACTTATTATGTACACAGCAACCAAGAGTAACTAAGAAAATATGAAGGGGAAAAAACCTAAGAAAGTAGGTGAAGGGGTGCAAAGCATATGTACACGGCATTTCCCATCACTCACGATGTAACTTTAACACCTGATTTAGGTGAAAAAACAGATGGGAACCAAAACTAAACAAGGAGACTTCACATCATTGAGTCATTCTTGGCTACTAAAATATTTGCCTAGTCATATTTTCTGATGCATAAATTAGTCGAAACAGTGCATATTCAATAGGAGTATATGATAAACCATTAACTAATCCCAGTGCCAGAATGAACGGCTAAAAATAGCATTGAGTCATTCTTGGCTATTATTCTTTGCCTAATCATTTTTTATGCATAAATTAGTCGAGACAGTGCATATTCAATTAATTACTTTCATATGGACGTAGGCATTCCTAATTTAACCACCTATCACTTTCTTGAATTTGGCCACACCTGTCAAAATTATCATAAGCCCCATAATTTTTACAGCAGGTTAAAATAACATGCAATAATGGATAACTATATATAATAAGTCTAATTTGCTAATTTAGAATTTAGGAAACGCTACGTATTGTATTCGATGGCTTTTTATTACACATATACTAGTGCGAATTATAAGTATTAAATGACAAGGGATCCTTGACATGTCGAAAGGCTAGCTACTCCAAGCTGAGGCAGATCTAGTCTTTTGATATCGAGTTCAACTAAACTCATAATTTCTGACGTAGAGCATAACTTTTTATAAAAAAATTTATTAAAGTTGCAACAAATAATAGATATGAGCAGGGGCGGAGGGAGAATAGGAGCTACGGGTTCGACCGAATCCAGTGGCCAGGGGTGAATTTAGGGGGGCGGAAGGGTGTTCACTCGAACCCCCTTCGCCAAAAAATTATACTGTATATGTAAGACAAAATCTGTTTTTTTACCTCTATAATTTATGTTTTGAATCCCCTTAACACAACCCAAAAACATAGCTTAGTGCCAGGGCCGGCTATAGGGTAAAGCTTCTAAAGCATTTGCTTGAGGCCCCCAAAGTTGGGACCCATTTTTTTAATACCAAAATAGGTTTATAGGCTGTTTTAAAAAAATAATGAGTAGTTTTTATCTTGAAAATTAGATATTTTTTTATAAAAGGAAAGAATAGATGCGTAACTAATTAAAGTGAGCGTAATACTTTTTATAAATGTGAATTTCTTTCAAACCTTTTTTTGTATGAACAAAAAATCTAATAAGTGAAATTATTATATTCCACTTTTTACCCATTTTTTCATCAGAATAAATGTACTACTAAATCATATTTTTACACTATTCATTTTCTTTCTTGGTTTGTCCAAGAGTTAATCGCTCGCATAACTTTATACTCTTATATATTCTCTTTCTTACTTTTTTCGAGTTTAAGTCTGATAACTTAGTAGGAGTAGTATTATTCGAAAATTCACATAGCTTAAAAGTACTATTGATATCATATATCGTGCATTCTTTTTTGTTTTTTCCTGAAGTTTCAAGCATTTTGTGTTATTGAAGGAGCAAAAAAATATCTTGAAATTAAGTCATCATTTTTCTTGAATTAAATTCTATTATTATAACTTCCAAGTGTTATTATCATCTCATTTTATTCTTACTTCATAGTTATATATTGTCTTTTATGCATATATTAAAATTTAAATATGCCACGAAAAATATGAATCAAGTTGTTCAAAACTAAAATAAAAGAGTTAAAAACTATTTTAATATTGTCCAAAATATTTTTAGGAGAGATTGATTATAAAAAGTTATTAGTAATTTTGTATCTCGGAATATTAGAAAAATAGAATTCATATATATATATATATATATATATATATATATAACGTATGTGTGTGTGATTTTTTTTTTTTATAAAAAATAAAGTTTAGGGCCTCTTATCAACATTGGCTTTAGGCCACAAATATTGTTAAGCTGCCCCTGCTTAGTGCTCAAGAGAGTTCAAAACCTTTGTAAGGTCATTGGTTCTATTCCCACCAGTTACATTCTTTTTAACTTTTTCCTTTTTTTGAACTTCCTTGGCGGTAATCCTGCCTCCGCCACTGTCAGCGGCTTTGGTGCAAACCATGTATTTGTCTTAAGAAATTCATTGAATATGTATTAATTATTAATTTAGAACCCAATAACTTAAAGAATTTAAAATTCCGAACCCATAAATTTCAGGTCCTGACTCCGCCTCTAAATATGAACCCATAACTTTAAAAGTATAATGAGTTCAACGTAGAAATCTCATTAAAAACTCTTTTTGCACTAAAGCGTGGCAAAGTGGAATGACAAAACCTGATTCAGTGAATACAAAGTATACAATGAACGTTAACACAGCGTGGAAAAACATTAACATACATCAAAGGTGGATTAGTGAACCTAACGCAACAACTTGTCCACAATATAAAGTTTAAATTATAATAGAGTTTAACTTATAAATCACAGTCATTTAAGGTTAATTACATGTAAATATTCATAATAATGAAAATTATTACCTGAGAATAAGGCAGGAAACCTATTACAACAAATTAAATTACACTGATAATTTACACTATCAGTACATATAAAATAAATGCATTATAATATCCGATATTATAAGTTAATCCAAACTGTGGTGAAGCGAAGCAAGAATTTTTCATTAAAGTAAGTCAAAATATAAATTAAGAAATAAACATACTAAAAGAATTTAACTTGTAGTATATATATATATTTTAAAAAATAACTTAACTACACAATATAATTTTCGATAAAGAAGATGCGGATGGGGCAAAGGTTTTCCGATGCTGAATCCAAGTGCCTATGTTAGGAAAAATGTGTATTCATTCAGAGGAAGCCATCTACGGAAGAAAAAACGGCTTTGTCAAGTTCCCGAAGTCCAAATAAATATTAAGTACCGTCAAATTACACATTGTACTTCAAAATTCAATTTAATATTATAGGCTATTAGCCTTGAAATTTTCTTTTCTAGTTCTTTAAGTTGTATGTGTTCCAATATTCGAATTTTAGTTATACAAATCGAAAAAAAAAAACAAAAAAACTCGAAAAGGCCGTTATCGGCCCCACCAGGACCGGTATGTGCATCGGTTCAGTCCCCCTAAAAAGCCCCAAGTACAGGCCCCCTAGCCATTGAACCCACGCCCACTAGGAAACCTAGACTAGGACCGGCCCAGAACCTATTCATAGGCCCACGATTGGTCCCTTAGACAGGCCTAGCCCACCCCTAATTTAATGAGCAATTTATGCAAAATACCCATTGAGCTTAAAATAATTACGTTTTTCTACCCATTTGAAAAATATTTACAATATATACCTACCCAATTAAAACTAATTACCCCTACCTACCCACACCCATCCCAACTTTTTTTTTTTACCCATTTGGCATAGTTTAGCTTGATTTGGCTTGGCTTTGTTTGGCTTCGCTTGAATTGACTTGGCTTAGCTTGACTTGATTTGGTTTGGCTAGGCATGGTTTGGCTTGAATTGGCTTGGCTTGACGTGAATTGGCTTGGTTTATAGTAGCTTAGTTTGATTTTATTTGACTAGATATTAAAAAAAAAAATGGGTCGGGGGAAAAGGTATGGATAGGGACGGATAAATAGTTTCCTGCGTATGGGTATTTGCTAAACTCCCCCAATTTAATCTACCAAGTATGAACTTTGACATCTGTAGGCATGTAAAATTTATTGAATTCAAATTCAATAAAAACTTTGGATTATATTTTAAATATACTAGTCCAAATAAATTATGGGCTAATATATATAATTGGATTAATTACTTAAGTCCAATAGATATTGTCTGGGCTAGCTCATTTAGTTGGGCTAAAGTGATGAGCCCACTTCATTAGGCCCAAGATGTCATCTTCCTAGAGGCCCAGTTTGGTGCCACGTGTCAAATGACGTGGCGCGCCAAGTCAAACGGAAGAGCCAATAGGATCGTGCCACGTGTCAAAATGACAAGGCATGTCAAGTCACATTAGAAGGCCAATGAAACCGCGCCACGTGTGCAAGTGACATGTTCTGGCCAATCAATACGGCCATGTCACACTTCAATTTGATTGGTCGAAAAGAGTTTGTTCTTATCACAACTCCTCCCTTCTACAACTATAAATAGGGGTCTTCATAACCCAGAAGTTATAACAAGAAGCAGGAAAGAGCTCGTGGGATCAAACGCTGCAAATTCCTCCACAAGTTTCAAGTTCAAGCAATCAAGCTCAAGCTCAAGCTCAAGAACAAGATCATCGTTCGTGGCAACAACTACATATTCAAGATCAAGCTCAAAGGCTCTTGAATTTATTTATTATTGGAAAGAAGAATTAGAGGATTCATAGAGATTATAACACTCAAATATTTGAAATAAAATACTACGATTGTTGTAATTATTTTCGGTCTTGATTTTATTTTCTCGACGTAATTTATTGTCTACAAATTCTGGCACGCCCAATGGGACAATCTCTACCTCTCATCTCAACTTTTCAATCATCAAAGTTCAAGAACATTGAAATGGCTTCAAAGAAAATCAACTCCAGTTCAACTTCCACTAAGGTTGCTAATTTCA